GATGCTAGTGAAAACAATAAAACAGTCAAGTCTGGTGACAGGCCTTTAGCTGTGACCGTCTGGGAAGCTAGTAAGAAGACTGCAAGTTCAAGGCCTGCCTGAACAGCAGAAGGTGGTTAAGACAGACCGTGTCTAAACTAAGAAACAATAACAAAAATTGATAACCCAAACAACCCAAAACCACCAATGTAAAAATCTGAAACAAATACTATAAAGTACTGAGGCCTGACAAGGCAAGTGGTGGGTAATAAGTGCTTTTTATGTAACTCATCACACTTCTATTTGCTTAAAAGAAGAGCTGACAAATTATAGTTTATGGGCTTAATCTGCCTCAGGGCCTGTTGTTTTAGAAGTTCTGGCTCTAAGATTAGGCTAACGTGTGTGTGTGATATGTGTGGCATATGTGTGTGTACACATCAATACAGGTGTGTGCTTCCATGTGAGCATGTGTCAGAGGAAGATGTGTGTTACTTTATCACTCTTCCCCCTTTATTCTCCTGAGACAGGATCTCTCATAGACTTTAAGCTCACCATTTGGCTAGGCTGGTGGGCTAGTGAGTGAGCTTCCCAGATCTCTGTGCCACAGTGTGTTTATAGACATGTACTCAACACAGACTTTTTATGTAGGTGCTAAAGACTCAAACTGAGGTCCTCATGCTTACACAGGAAATACTCTTACCAACTGAATCATCTCTTCAGACTCTAGTATAACATTTCCAAATGATTGCTTAAGCACATGCATATGTGCATAAGCACTCCCGTGTACCCGTACAGGCACACACACATACACTTGTACCGTTACACTAATCCCATGACATACAAAGTCGAAAATATTTACTGTCTAGCTTTTCATAGAAAAAGGGGCCTGGCTGTGGTGGTGCACACCTTTAATTCCAGCACTTTAATCCCAGAGGCAGGTGGACCTCTGTAATTTCAAGACCTTCCTGGTCTACAGAGTGAGTCCAGGACAGCCAAGGCTACACAGAGAAATCCTGTCTTGAAAAAAACCAAAAGAAAAAAAGAGAGAGAAAGAAAGAAGGAAAGGAAAGAGAGAGTGAGATAAAGAAAGAAGGAAGGAAAGAGAAAGGAAAGAGAAAGAAAGAAAGAAAGAAAGAAAGAAAGAAAGAAAGAAAGAAAGAAAGAGGAAGGAAGGAAAGGAAGAAAGGAAAGAAAGGAAGAAAGGAAAAAAGAAAGAGAGAGAAAGAAAGGAAGGAAGGAAAGAAAGAAAGAAAGAAAGAAAAAGGAAGGAAAGAAAGAAAAGAAAGGAAAAAAGGGAAAGAAGAAAGGAAAGAAAGAAAAAGAAAAAGGCAGTTAATTACTGTCTTAAAATAATTCAGGAGATTAAAAGAGAAGGACAAGCCACCAACCAAGCAAGAAAATATGGCCTCTTGCAGAAAGTCATCAAAGCAGAAATCTCATCACCTTTTATTCTAATTTTTGATACTGGAACTTACTTAAAAGAATGCTGGAAGATGGTATTTTAAATCACATTTTAATTTCAGTCCACATCTGTGAACAAAACAAGACAAAACCCCAAGAAGCTCACTTAGTGCCTGGCTGCCGAGTTAGGTTGAGAATGTCACCAGGGACCTACTGCCAAGATTGGGTGTGCTAGCTCTCTCCCGTTTTCCACAGGAGATAAGGTAGAAAGAGAGCTTAATAAACACACAAAATGTGGTGCCACAGTCAGAGCTTCTGCGTATAGTGGTTGTGAAAAATGATAATAGGTCATCAGAGAAGGTGGACCTTTTCACTTAGGAGGCAGATTACTGAGAAAATATATCCAAATGTCTTACATTAAGTTAGCTTACAGTAATTGCAGCTCTAAATCATTAGCATTCTGAAATTATTACATAGGTATTTTATGTCCTTTATAACATGTTAAACACAAAAGCAGTGCCTTGAATATGAAAACTTTTACTTTTGTAATTAATTTATTCAGTTTCTCTCCCAGTAATGACCCAAATTAACTGAAGATATTATAATAAGAACTTAGAGATTGTGCTCGCTAAAATCACTGGCTCTTTATTTGGGTGTGCATGACACAAAGAATGATTAAAAACTTGGTGTTATTTTGCACCTATTTCTTTTGCTACCCTAAAATTTGGGTCAAATTATTACTCAACTAGGCACATAAATACTTAGATCATTAAAGACTATGTCTGAATTTGCTACCCTATCCCACCCAAGTAAGCATAACTAAGACTAGACCACTCAAGTAGCATCTAGACAGATGTCTCCCATCTCGGCTCCAAACCCAAAGGAAAAAATTCCATCTTGCTTTTTGTGACTTGTCATTCTTTCTTGCAGTCATGTTGTATTCCAGGACGAAATGATCTGATAGGTAAGTATCTCTTGAGAAGAACTGAACTACCTCCACAGGCCATAGCAACTTTCCTTGTGACCAAAAGGCATCACTTACCATCCAGAGAGAACCATCAACCCCACCATGCTTTGCCCAAGACTGCTTGCTTTGTTAACGTATGAAGAAAACCCTCAGTTATGCAAACTTTTAACCTTTACCTTCGTTCCCTTTTCTAGAAATTTAAAAGCTGTCAGCTCTCTGAAGACACTGTCCTCTTTCTCCTGGTATGGCCACAGTGCTTTTATAAAGTTCCTTTCTACCTTTACCACTGTCATCTCTTGGACTGGATTTGGGAGCAGTGGTTAGACTAGGTCCCTTGGAACTCTCAGAGTTGGCCTTTTTCTCCAAAACTAACATTATCAACTTCAGTGAATCAATAAATAAGAGTTTCCATAAATGCTCAGTGAATATCTGAGCAAAATCATCATTTAATAACTAAGTATGTACTATCTTGTCTTAAACTTTAATGTTTCTGGCAACTAAAAATGTGCACCAGGCCATAAATGTGTACCAGGTATAAGTTATTTACCTGATTGCAATTCATGTTTGTCAAATAATCTCCCCTGTGCCGCACTCCTGTTGGGTATCACATGATAGGCAAGTGCTCTATCACTGAACTATCTCCCTAAGTTTTGTCTTCTTTAGACAGGGTTTTTCTAGTTCAAGTCAGTCTTCTTCTTCTTCTTCTTTTTTTTTTAGTTAACCTAGAACACAATGCTGGGCAATATGTTACTCCATCCTAAACCTCCAAGCCCTCATAGTTTCCTAACATTTAGATTTCCCACATTATACTTGCTTTTTGTGAAATCTTAGGTCTGGTTCATGCTCCATGTCCTCCAAGATCTCTCCTCCAGCTCCGTTCTTCTAGATCTCCTTTCGCCCTCTAACCCTTTCTTCTCCCACTCATTTCCTGCCCTCTAGCTCTTCCCCTCTTTCCTGTCCTCTGGCTCCTCCCAGCTCAACATTGTGTCTAGTTGCTTTATTTTGGCCTGTTTACACAAGAGTTGAGACAGGATGCTTAAAATGAGTATCATAATGTAATATCTGGATTGAAACCGGGGAGGGGGGGAGAAATCAGCATTTGAATGATAAGGGTAAGGTGTATACATTTTAAAAGAACATTATACCAACATTTCCCCCTTTAAATCCAATAAAAGGCTCCTTTTCTTTCAATACAATAATAATTATGAAATTATGAAAACTGCTAGGTAAAATCTACATGTGCAATGTCCATTGTCTTAAACTCACATTAGCCTTGAATTCATGGTTCTCCTGCTTCTACATCCTTAATTCTGAGATTACAGAACTCAACCACAATGCCCAGAACAAATGAAGTTGTAAAAAATATATATTGGGCTGGATAGATGGCTCAGTAATTAAGAATGCATACACTTTCCCTGAGGACCCTAGTTTAGTGCTCAGCATTCACACTGGGCAGCTTGCAACTTCCTGTAACCCCACCTCCAAGGGATGCATAGTCTTTTTTGGCTTCTGCAGGCACTGTACTCACATATGCTTAACATGAATATTTAAAATAAAATCTTGCTGGATGTTGTGGCACAGTCTGTAATCGCAGCACTCAGGGGCAGAGGCAGCCAGAATCTATGAGTTCTAGGCCAACTAAGGCTATATAATGAGGCTTGTCTCAAAAAAACAAACAAAAGTTAAAATCATTAAAAATAAAAATATATTATTGTATACATGTGTGCATAATGAGTCTGTGTGAGCATACACGCACAGGTGTCAGAAAACAATTTGTAGAGTTATACGGGCCCCAGATATTAAACTAAGCCTGCATGAAAAGTGCCTTGACTCTCTGAGTGGTCTTGCTGGCCCCCAAGCAAAAATTTAAAAATATCTATCTATCTATCTATCTATCTATCTATCTATCTATCTATCTATCTATCTATC